ACAATTATTGTGCCGCAATTATTTTGTCTCTGGCACGGATGGATAGGAAATGTTGACACACTTTGTTGGAGCGAACCGTTAAAATGGAATTCTGGGACTCCCCTCGAGTGTACGATGTTGGAAGATATCAAGGGTGGTTCTTCTAAACTTGATGGATGTCGGCCGCTCGCTTTTATCGTATTTTTTCGCGAAATTTCTTTTTCAACGATGATACATCTGGGCAATACGTTGAAGATTTTTATCCCACTTTCGATGAATTTGTTCGAAAGAAGTAGGATCGATAGGAAATTAAACAAACTAAAATATCACCAATACCCGTGAATTCATTGAATTATAATCCAACAATTCAACAAAATTCAAAAGTTAGATTAGAACTTTCTAATATAAAATATAATTCATTTAACGATCATTAAACTTGCCTCTCTATCAATTTTTATTAATAATACAAATTCTGTTGCGCGATACACTTAAAATACCATTTATCAGAAACGAGGGAATCTCGCCAAAAACAAAATCTCTACCATTTTCATCGGTCTCTGGTAACGAGGCATGGCCTTCACCGGTTGGCCTTGGTCAGGGAGGGATTCATTGTTCAATCGCGCGAAAAACCCGGGACGTACGTGATGTCGCGTCAATATTCGAGAAGGAATGAAGGAATTCCGAGGAATATCTGCGGTCGAAGTTTCATCTTGTTCCCTCGTTAACGCGTGGCGGTGTGCCAGTAACGAGAAAGGAGGAAGAGGAATCTCTGGAGGGTGGAGGGGCGAAGGCGGAGACAATCGCGTGGGAAAGTTCGAAAGTCGAAAGTTCGCGGCTTTGGACCTCGTTTCGAAAGATTTGGAGGGAGAACGAGCGCGTTATCGTCCCCTCCCCTCGCCGCTGCTTGATATCACCGCGTATTGTGCGCGAGGAATCGATTGTTTTTGGGACCGTGAATCAGGGAGAGGAGAATTGGTTATTAATAACGGCGGTGGGAAATTTTAAGATCGTAAGTGGAACGAATGGGCGTGTATTGGGGATGATTGGGGGTGATTTATCGTTGTTGTGGTGGTGAATGGGAGAATGATGATGCGCGTTTCGGGGGAAACGAATACGGTGGTAGGCTTGATTAATATTTTATTACATTGCGGTGATACCGTGGTGGAAATTTAATCGGGTAAGGAAGGATACGTAATTGGGATATATAATATATGTAATATATAATAGCTGCATTTTCACGTGAAACGATGCCAATTCGTTTGGAATTTTACGTGGGCGGTAAAAAAAATAACAGAGTGCAGAAGAATTCTGGCCGACCATGGGTAAAGTATGCTACTTATCTAATTGCATACGCATATTCGTTTGAAAATATCTTTGAATGATATTCGATTGAATATTTTAAATCTCCAAGGAAGGCAAATAACGAAGAAAGGATAAATAAACGAGTAACACGGAAAGAAAACAGAGATATGAAAAAGGATATGGTCGAATCGAATAAAAATACGAGTACAGCTCGGAAGAAATAATATCGAATTCGATTAATTCGATTAATTCGAGCCATAAACTGGAAATTCATTGTTTCAAAATATCTTTGAATGATATTCGATTAAATATTTTAAATCTCCAAGGAAGGAAAATAACGACGAGTAAGATGGAAAGAAAAGAGAAATATAAAAAAAATATGGTCGAATCGAATAAAAATACGAGTACAGCTCGAAAGAATCGAAAGAAATAATATGGAATTCGATTAATTCGATTAATTCGAGCCACAATCTGGAGATCCATCGTTTGAAAATACCTTTGAATGATATTCGATTAAATATTTTAAATCTCCAAGGAAGGAAAATAACACGGAAAGAAAAGAGAGGTATAAAAAAAATATGGTCGAATCGAATAAAAATACGAGTACAGCTCGAAAGGATCGAAAGAAATAATATCGAATTTGATTAATTCGATTAATTCGAGCCATAAATTGGAGATCCATCGTTTGAAAATATCTTTGAATGATATTCGATTAAATATTTTAAATCTCCAAGGAAGGAAAGAAAAGAGAGGTATAAAAAAAATATGGTCGAATCGAATAAAAATACGAGTACAACTCGGAAGGATCGAAAGAAATAATATCGAATTTGATTAATTAGATTAATTCGAGCCACAATCTGGAGATCCATCGTTTGAAAATATCTTTGAATGATATTCAATTAAATATTTTAAATCTCCAAGGAAAGAAAAGAGAGATATAAAAAAAATATGGTCGAATCGAATAAAAATACGAGTACAACTCGAAAGGATCGAAAGAAATAATATGGAATTCGATTAATTCGAGCCACAAACTGAAAATCCATCGTTTGAAAATATCTTTGAATGATATTCGATTAAATATTTTAAATCTCCAAGGAAGGAAAATAACGACGAGTAAGATGGAAAGAAAAGAGAAATATAAAAAAAATATGGTCGAATCGAATAAAAATACGAGTACAGCTCGAAAGAAAGATCGAAAGAAATAATATGGAATTCGTCGATTAATGAGAGCCACAAACTGGAGATCCATCGAGGCGGAAGATGGGAATCGGTTGCGAGCATGTTCGAAAACCGCGCGTATCAAACAACGATCGGGTGTAATTAAACGATTATTTACGAGGAAGCGAGGCCGCGTGTAACATTAATAACATTTATCCGGCACGGCAAATTCCTTGTTAACGTAGCGTGACGTTGCCCGTTATAGTTTGTACGGACGTTACACCGACGCATCGTAGATCTATTCTAATTAAAATTGGAATTCGAATTCCGGATAGTATCGATCAATTAAAAGGGAAAATTAAATTTCACGGGGAACGGGCCCCTGCGCGTTCGGTGTGGCCACCGTTTGTGTTTCGCCTAAATGAATCCAATTTTATACCGTTGTACACGGTAAATCCGTGTAAAACCTCAATTTACGTTCTCCTTTATCGACTGTTTAACCCAAGAACGCGTTACACGGAGATTGCTCCAAGAGATAAGATTCATTTAACGATATATATATATACTTGTTACTTGATTGTTTGGAGATTTAACGTTTAAAAATGTTTCGAATGAAACAAAAATATTTCGATATCAAGGAGATCGATTTAATTGGAATTTTTCATCAAACGATTCAAACGATTTTAAATTTTTAAACTTAACTCGATTCATTTCCTTTACGAATACAACTTTTTTAAAAGAAAATTGAATAGAAAAAATTACAAAGTTTAAGCCAGTCTATATGTCCATCTGGAACGATTATAACACCGATTCAAAAATCGCAATTTATCCTCACATATATATGGCAAGTATCATCCGTAACACTTCCGCATAACCTCGAGCAAATTTCGCAGTTTCGCAACGTGAATATCCGCAATCCGCCCTGTTGTCGTTGGATACAACGTTTTTATACTGCGGAAGCGAGAAAGTCGAAAGAAGCTGGCACTTCGACGAAACTTTTATCTGGCTGACGTACAATTTCTCCCTCTCTCTCTCTCTCTCTCTCTCTCTCTCTCTCTCTCTCTCTTTGGCCGTGTGTAGACTCGGCACAGCCGAGTTTCCTGTATTTATAGAGCACAATAATGCGGATGCACAGGGATACGAAGTTTCTAGTGGCCGCAGCGTGTGTGTGTATACGTATATATATATATATATGTAGAGAGAGAGAAGAAACCCGAGAACTGCGGAACGAGGGGGAATCCGAATGAGACTGGGATTCCCCCTCGCTTCCAATGTTGCCCTAAACTGGCAGTGCTACCCGCCGAATTACCAATGCGGCGAAAGGACCGACGATTTCTGCGCGAAACTCGATGATTCGTTCGTTATTTCGTTGGAAATTCGATGGATTACGAGGTAAGAAATACGATAACACTGAAAATAAAGTGAAGTTAGCTGTTTGAAATTATGGCGACTTCAAATTTTTAGAGTAGAGTTTAACGATGGTTTAAAATTGAACACATTTTTTTTTAAAGAACACATTTTTTTTTTCAAAAGGATCGATTGAAAAATTGGAATTATTCGGGGGAAAAATGGTAAAAAAAAATGGAAAATTGGTGTTTTATCATTATCGTTTCGGATTAGCTTTGATCATACAGATGTATTAAAACAGCGTATATAAAAATAAAATGCAAACAGTTATCCAGTGTGTCCAGTTATCTTGAAAATTTATTTTTCGTTCGTCTGTATGCGGTATGTAAATGGAATTTGGCTGGGAAATAAAACCGTTATGGTTGGAAATAGAAAAATAGAGTCGTGTGGGAATTGGTTTGCTGTCAGCAGTGATGCCTCGTTTACTTGTTTCCCGAAATTGATATTGGAGCATATGAAACTAGTGAATCTGAGCGTGTCTACCAAGGAATATTGTACGATAGAAGTTTCGAAGTTTTGAAACAAAAAAATTATAAATAAGAATCATTCCAATTTTAAAATTTTCTTCAAAAACGATGACTGATAAATAATTGATAAAAATCTCTGATTTAAGTAAAAAAAATATAAAATGTAATATTCTAAAATTATTATAAACAACTTGGGATTATCTCGAGGTATCACAATCACGACGTGTATCGTCGTTTACACGAGATTGGCACGAGATCGTTTCCAACTTGCTTGCTATATCGAGAGAAAGAATGATCTGCTTCGTGTCAGCCAGATAAAAGTTTCCTCAGAGTGTTGGTAAATGGTGGAAGGATTTGAGGACACGCGTGGTGAACCCGTCTCAATGTTACTGTCTACTTTATAGGAGTTGGAATAAGCGCGAAGAAAAGTTGCACAGTGTCTGCAATGCGACTCTCGAGAACATCTCCTCGATCACTATTACATTTTTCTTTTTTTCACAGTATTCTATTTTCTTTTTTAATCGAAAGGATGATGATCGTTTGTTTCATTTTAATTCTACTTCCTCCTTCCTATTTATTTATTTTTGAGATAAATCTAGATTCTACCTATAAGAATGATAATGATCGTGAACGAAATGAAAGGACACGCGTGACGATAATAATTTAGAGGGTGTGTTTCCGTTGCAGACGACGTGCCTAACAGAACTGCCAGACGTGGCACCGTGCAACGGCACAGTGCGACTGCCACCACCGTGCGAGGATTCGCCAAGCAGCGGTAGCAGCAAAGATCGGAGGGAAGAGAGTCCTCGCAGGAGGTGCCGGGTATTGGCGCCCATCTTGCTCCTAGTCGCGGCTCTCCTCCTCGGGGGGCTTTGTCTACCATTGCTTCTACAATCCGCGCCTGTCACGCATCAGCAGAGGCTGGACGTGATCAGGAGGATCCTCACTGAAGTGCCTCTGATCGACGGGTAAGCTCGTATGGAAGAATACATATGTATACATATGTATAGATAGAATAATAATTTTTCTTTGAATTTTTAATAATAATCTTCCATTTCACTTGTCCTAACTGTGATTTATATCAGTGAAATTGTCTCACTCTGCTCATCTATTCATAGTTGTATTTCTCGATTGTAGAAAAGAAATTAACGAAATGGAAAGATTTGTTTGATATCGATTTTAATTAATTCGTGATTTTCCCTGACCAGGCACAACGATTTGCCCTGGAACGTCAGAAAGTTCGTACACAATCAACTCGGCGAGGTGAATCTGAGCAGCGATCTCGGAAGGGTTGATCCTTGGGCCAGATCAGACTGGAGTCACACGGACATTCCTAGATTACGAGCTGGCCTGGTCGGTGCACAGGTGAGGGTGAAAATAATATACAAACGCTTTAACTTCGTTTGCTTTTTCGCTCATTTCTAATTACAAGTTTCGAACGCGAGGCCCTCCTCCGCGTTTTAATTACTTCAATCCAAACTTAATTGTTCCGCTGTTTTAAACAAACTTTCCAACAGCAACCCCTTGTCAACCCCTAATAGTCTATTCGAATAACTGTTTTTGACGCGGCGTTTGAAAAGACTTTTAATTGAATAGGGCCAATTTATTGTAGGGCCGTAATTTTAACGTAGATCTCTTTTTCTTTATAAAAATAATCAAGACGTGATTAATCGAATAAAATTAAATTCACTTTTGAATCAGATCTTTTAATTTAAAACAAAGATTAAAGAAACTTCCATAAAGTAAAAACGATTAGAAATAAATATTATAAATCCAAAAATCTCTTCCCGATTATTATTACTCGAGGAATATTTCGAGGATTCCTTCCTCGATCGAAACGAAACGAAACGAAACTCGATTCCAATAATTATCAGTTGGAAACTCGGCAACCCTTCGATATTTCACTACGATTTCTAATCATTCGAATTTCGCTCCGGGAATTATATTGGCGGGATTGGTTACCGTTTAATGGCGGCGGGACCCGCAAACTTTCGATCGAAACTATTCGGCCGTCCTCAGAGGGGAACGTATCGGTAAATCCCGAGCAAGTTTATGCCTAAACCCTCGAGGGGGAGGGGGGGGGAGGGGAGAGGGTAGTAATCGAAGAGCGCTCAATTAAATTCGAAGAGGACCTGTCGAATCGGTGGAAGCGGAAATTGTTCGAGGAACATTTGCCGGGGACGTGGAACGCGGAATATTAATGTAACGAATCGTGCGCATAATTAAGATAGTGACAATCGAAAAATCCCCCTCGAATGATCGCGCGTTTAATTAAAACGGACGGGTAAATATCCGTCCCGGATGATATAATTTGATGAAAATATTCTGTGATTAAATCTCGTGTTTCTAATTAATTAGGGAGATCTTGTTATATATATATATATTGTTCTGGTAGCTGCACAAGGAATCAAGTGTAATTGGTAATCGTGTTGTTTGTTGTTAAGAGTATATTATTATGAAGAAGGAATTTAATCAAGTTGATTGTTGATGATTGATGTATTGTCTCGATTGACGGACAAGTGTAAATGTAATTTAAATGGGAAATGTTTGCAGTTATGACCGATGAAAAATTATAATGTTTTTATATTCGAATATATATATATATGATTTTGCATTTTAACGTGAGTGAATTATTGAAATGGATTTTATGTAAGTCGTGTAAAAAAAATTTAAGAATCGAGCTAATTTTAATTACAACATTATTACTTTTTATTCGACGAAATTAATTTGCGTCGTTTTAAATTTCCATATTTCTTTTTTCCTTTTCAAATACATCTACACCAATCGATTCATAATTTTTCAATTAAATAAAGCGTCAAAGGGAAATTGAAACTAACTAAATTCAAAAATTATTTGTCATTAATAAGATAAACAAATACTCACAGATATATATATATATATACTTATAGAATGTTCACTATTGATCTTAAAAAAATTCAATGAAAAATTAATCGATTTATCACAATAAACATCTCAATCGCAATCTTAAAATCGTGACGTGATACGTGTTGCCACGAACACCCGGTATATCTCTATAAATTACGACCGGTTGAAACGGGTCAACAAGTGAGCACTAACTCTTATCTGACCCACAGATCCCGTTCGTTCCTTCCCATCTTGCCAAGATATTGGCAATCGACAGATATGGAGGGGAGGGAGAGAGAGAGAGAGAGAAACCACCTTCCACTTCCTGTTCACATTTAATCGGAACACGATGATGCAACAATACCGAAAACCGGTATTTTTAACCGGCCATTAGAGAATTGATTCCTTTGATCTCGCGTAACGAGAAAGAGTTTTAATCTGATTCCAGGGATATCTATCTGCCTTGGAATCTTCGATTAGTGAATAAGCCGGAATATAGGGGGTCTATCTTTGGACGATTGTCGAAAAGTCTGTCGGTGAAAGTAAGTCTCTCTCTTTTTCTTTTCTTTTGGCTGACTTTTCCAGTTACTTCTCTCTCTCTCTCTCTCTCTCTCTCTCTCTCTCTCTCTCTCTCTCTCTCTCTCTCTAAGTACGATGGTTGTTCACAGATTGGAGAGGGTGGACGGTACGTATCTTCGACGGTCGTGTTATCAGTTATATAGGCCTTTGTTCTCGAATTGGCGCGACACGATGGCAATTCGAAATTACGGGCCTTTCTATCGGGCTGGATTGGAAATTGGACAGGCTTGTAATTAATTCTTTGATCTCGATATTTGACATGGGTAAAGGGAGATGTTGCTTTCGGTAGTTTTAGAAATGTGGAAAATTGTTTCTTTTGGTTGCAGACAGGTTGTTTGTCGAAATTGGAAGTTAAGAAAGAATCGTTAATCGAACTACGAAACGTCGAAATTCTTCAAAAGAATGTTGCCTTCGAAAATAATGCACAATATAAAGAATAAATATTGGAAAATAAATTCAGATGTTTCATTTTTAGTTAAAGAAATTAATTGACAATTACCAACTAACCCAAGACGTGTAAATGATAATTTTCGAGAGGTCAAAATGTGCGAGAATTGTAAATGCATCCGACAGAAAAGAAAGCGCCTCGTGTAATTGACTTCTCCCCTAATTATAAAGTCCGTCAACGTACATTATCGAGGCGGTATATCTCGTGCAGAAAACCCCCGTTGCAGAAAACCAATTCAATCACACGAATTGAATGCAGACCACTCAATGGATTCACCATTGTAATCATTCCTTTTCCCCTCCCCCATTCCTTTTCTTTTCATTCTTCCTTATCCTGCTTTTTCCTCCAACTATAAAATCCTATTTGCGTATGATTCTATAGAAAATTTTCTCGAATCGGTGTTACTAAGAGAACCTTTTTCTTTTTCTTCTTCTTTTTCTTACCAATTCAATTTATCATTTTAGATTTATCATAATAAACGATCATGCCATTATTATATAAAATTTCCCTTAATTCTATCTTTCCCTTTAATTCCTTTTTTAATAAATAATAAAAGTACAAAATTATTGACACGATATATAATAATAATAATAATAATAATAATAATGATAGATTCGTTCGTAAAAAGTATTAAAGAAAAGATCTTTCGTGAATCACGTTAATCATAATCTAAAACGTGATTGGAATATTTTACGAGAATGTCAAAAAAAAGAAAGAAAGAAGAAAATCGTATCGATTCGAACGGAGGAAATTAAATAACCGAATTATCGAATCCAATAATTTCGTTGCAGGATCGAGATCTTCGTACATGGTAAAATTTGTGACCGGCCACCCCTTTCCCCTTTTGGCCATTTCTCTCGTTCCATCGAAGCACCCAGGAGGATATTAATGGTCCTCTGAGCGCGTTCCATGACAGAAGCAAGCCAATTTCGATCTGGATCAATGACGACACCATAATCAGCAAAGCCCTCGGCAGAGCCATTCACTTAACCCAGACCTGCTGCGGGCAATCGTTGCACTAATACGCCGCTACGTCCAATGCCCGGCTACGTCCATTTTCCATCTCTATTCCGCCATCTTGCTCCCCTCTTCCTCGCGCCATCTCTTTGTACGTGTATTTATCACTGTCCCTCTCAGTCTCAGCCCCATTGCTTCCCTGATCCATCTCTGTCGCTCCGATCTTGCGGCGACATATACGCGTATACAGGGTGTCTCTTTCATTTAAATATCGCGAAATATTGTTTTTAAGACCGTTGAGAAGAGATTGTATTTATTTTGCGCGCAGTCACAAAGGATGAAATCTCTTTCTTTTCTCGTAGCAATGCGAAATAAACTGCATTCGTTTAAATAAATAAGATAATAAAGATATACGCTTTCATATGTAATAATGTATTTTCTTGTATTCAAGTGATTTTAAATAAGAATGTTACGACGTTTCTTCCTTGCGAGATATTTCTTCGTTGTATTTGGATAAAAATCTCGTATTTGGGCACCCTGTATATCGCACTCCATCTTTCTCTCTCTATCTATTCCACTGGGGCTGCTGAACTGTACTTACGTTTGAGATTAGGTCATAGATTAGATGACGTCGAGTGAGTGTACACCCTGGGGAACCTGAGTCGTGAACCGAGGAAATTTTGTTAAGAAACATATATATTTGCTGGAAAATGATATTTATTCCGTTTGGATAGAAGAAATTTATCTGGAGATATCAGGGAAAGTGCTACAGCCGCACTTTTAAATTTTTTAATAGAAAAATAATTAATAAAATAATTTAATTAATAATTAATAAAAATATGATAGTGAAGGAAAAAAAGAATTAATAGAAAATTCCTGCCATAAGAAAAATAAGAATACTTGATTTACCACAATTTGGATCCTCAGAAATTTTCGAATATTGTAATAACCAACTCAGGAGGAATGTGAAAATCGTTCATACAAACATCCAATAATCTCTAAGGTATACTTGCTACTATACATATTCTTTCACTAAACTTTTAAGAAAGTATTAATTGGCGCGATAACACGGTTTTCGAACGCGTGTATAAGAAATATTAAATGGAAGGTTAAAATTTTGATTCTCGTACACGCGAAATATTTGCCCGGGCCAAATAGGGCCGAAGCGTTCCAAACGATTAGTCATAATGGTCGGGCTCGCGTAATGCCGCCAAAACCCAACAGGCCACGTACTCATTACGTATTCGGGTTGGGCATTCGAAACTTCGACGAGTTTGCACCGGTACTATTTAGACTTGGGAAGGGTTGGACCACGGTTCCTAACGACTCTGCCAGTGTCAATGGGCCGGCAACGTTTAAGAGAAACTTTGCCCTTCGATTATCGACGCGATAATTACGCGGGCTCGGTTACCTCGCGCCCCATCCCTTAACGATTCGGATCTCCATCGAGCCTATCGAGCGAGAGGACTCGTAATTTGAAATTTTAGATTAATAATAAATTTAGAAAATGTCCCAT